CCAACTTCTCAAGTTTCCAACTTCTCAAATTCCCAAATTCTCAAATTCCCAACTTCTCCAACTCCCAAATTCTCAAATTCCCAACTTCCCTAAATTCCAACTTGCCAAATTCCCAAATTCCTAAATTTTCAAATCCCTAAATTTCTTAGATCCCAAATTCCCAAATTTCCAAATCCCCAAATTCCCTAAATCCCCAAACCCTCAAACTCCCAAATTTCCCAATTTTCAAAATACCCCTACCACGACCTCCCATTCCACACTACCACAAAAAACCAAAAAAGTTCATTCTTAAAACTGCAATTTTTGCGTTACACGCCACATTCATATTCAGGCCTATGCATGTTTAATCGGGTGTACACATTTAATATGCTTTCTGAAGTTATGCCGAGTTAATTAGCTTCACTGTCGAGCGCGTCACAGAGAGATAATTGCATCAGCGTTGGGCACAACTTTAATTAGCGCTTTGGCCGAACTTCTCGATTAACATCGATCGCCGCTGATACGACTGCCAATTAAGTTGACAAAAATACGTCACTTTCGGACATGTTAAGAACCGACAGCTCATACTATTAGAATTATTTCGGGTCGATTACTTTTCGTTAGCGATTTTGGAATCTATTTATCTGGTGCGGAGGAGAAACTTTTAAGTGAGTTCGAAGTTTTGTGGTTGGGTTAAGTAATCTTATTTTGCTGTGGTTGTGAAAATTTAAAATAAAATTGAATAGTTTTTATGTTACATTTGTTGCATATTATTTTATATGTTATACTGTTATGTTATTGAGATACAATATTAAATTATGAAGGATTGTTATAGATAAATTATTCAATTATTAAAAATCAATTATCAAGTATAAGTCAGTGGATCGTTAAAAATAAATGATTAAGTATAAAGCATTATTTAGGCAACATTGACTAGAATTAATAAAAATCAAATAGATACTGGTTGCTCGTCACAAGATGAGTCCTGAGAGAATGCTATTAATTGGCAACATATTTAGTGCTTCACTCGTGAAATTTCATTACATCAGTACAGTAGTTGCAATATCAAAGTATATGACATTAGTAGTAGCACAAAGTAACGTTACATTAATAGTGAAATGAAATTATGTAACATGAGAAGCAATACTAAGTTACATTACATCAGTAGTAATATAAAATTATATTACATGAGCAGCGGCACAAAGTGCCATTATATTAGTAGTGAAATAAAATTATATGACTCGAGTAGCAACACAAAGTGATATTACATCAGTAGTGGCAAGAAATTATGCAACACTAGTAGCAGCACGAAGTGACATTACATCAGTAGAGAAATAAAATTATGTAACATGAACAGCAGCACAAAGTGACATTACATCAGTAGTGAAATAAAATTATATGGCTCGAGTAGCAACACAAAGTGCCATTATATTAGTAGTGAAATAATATTATGTAATACGAGTAGCAACACAAAATGATATTACATCAGTAGAGAAATAAAATCATATAACATGAGCAGTAGCACAAAGTAACATTACACCAGTGGCATAAAATAATATAATACAAGAAGCAACACAAAGTAACATTACATCAGTAGTGAAATAAAATTATATGACACGAGTAGCAACACAAAGTGCCATTACATTAGTAGTGAAATAATGTTATGTAATACAAGTAGTAACACAAAGTGCCATTACATCAGTAGAAAAATAAAATTATATAACACGAGCAGTAACACAAAGTAACATTACATAAGTGACATAAAATAATACAACACAAGTAGCAACACAAAGTAACATTACATCAGCAAAACAAAATTACATATCAATAAAAAAGTGCATAACAAAGAAAAATGATTATGTATAAGTTCGCCGGTGATCTTTCCACCTGGATATTAATCTCCGCCATAAAAGTCGTTGGACAGGGATAATTTCCATCGAAGATCTTTCAGAACCGATCACCTATAGAACCTGTTTCCGCGTGATGAGACTTTAAAGTCGCATAAAAAGCGTCCGTCATTAAAATCGCGTAAAAGTCATCGTTGACCCTTGTTAAGGATTTATGGGATGCACCGTTGTTTTTACCCTCGATGTCGATCATACAGGATGCTCTAAAAATAAACCACGTCGCTGTAAATAAAAAGCCGTGAGGTTAATGAGTGATCGTGTTTGCCTGTTTGCCGATGGCCTGTCTCCAGCGTCGCTTCTCCATTAACAAACTCTACTCCCATTAGGCGAATTTATTAAATTGCCTGGCAAATATCACTCGTTTCCATTAGTCGAGAAATTGACGATAAGGGTGAACACCACTTTCGATTATCGCGCTCTCGAACGACCTGGAAAGTGGAAACGTTTCGCGACGTTGTGCCTAACCGTTTTACACCGGGCTCGATAACGATTCGATAGAGTTATTTATATAGGTCAATATGCTTATCAGTATTCGTGAATATTTATCTTATGTTATTTATTTTATTTTATAGGTGTTTAGGAATTAGGTAAGAGAGTAGAGGATGTTGAGGATATAAGGTTTCTTCGGGTTAACTTGTGTAGCTGTTACTAATTTTTGATATGGGTTATATTGCAGTAGGTGTGGTCATAAGTTATGTATAGGGTTATAACTAGTGTAGTTTCTGAAATGGGGGGTAGGTGACATGATTCTGAATAAAATTTCCCGTTGCAAAAATGGGATTTGAAGCTTCGTTTTCGAATTATTAAGGAAAAACACGGACCAATCAGAGCGCGAGGATGACGCATGCGCAGACGCGAGAACGGCAGCTTCGGATAACGCGTAGTTATCCAACACGTGGTAATCCAACGCGTAGTAATGCAACGTGTGGTAATGCAACGCGTGGTAATCCTACGCGTAGTAATCCAATGCGTAGT